CTTATCTGCATTTTCTAAATTTATCCTGAAACAGAGCTGGTCTCTCATAATCACTTACCAACCACACAAGGCTGTCCAGCACTTATGGCTCCTATAATTTTTGGGAACACTTCCAGATCAGGAAAGAAAAATAATTTCTTCTTGTATCTTACCAAATATTCTCAAATCTCTTCTAAATCTCTTCTTTCTCATCCTCACAGGTCTGTTTCCATGATCTCCCAGGACTACAATTTCCCAGTGGGAATACAGAAATATTAAAAAGCTGTTTCTATCACATGGACTAAGCCTTCTCTCTCCTCTGTATTCAGAGGTGGTTACATACAAAACAAAGGAAAGGAGGGAGCCAAAGAATGAAAAGTTTTCATAGGGATGTGGAGACACACAAGGAAGTCAGTAAAAGCTGGAGCATGATGTGGGGTGAGGAGGTGGAAAACAGGAACACAAACTCTTCCTGCTCCATCACATTTACACCTGGTTGCCAGTGGAGCAGTGGAGTTTCTGTGCCAGAAGATACCCACAGCACCTCAGCATCTTTCTAATCATGATGTTAAAGCTATTAAATTATGATGTTTCAATTGAAAAACCCTACAGCCACAAAACTAGACCCTGTAGACCACTGACCCTCACACACTGCTCCAGACATATCACTGTCTGTATCTAAACAGCATCTCCTTAACAAGCACAGGGCTCTCTGAGTCCTCTTTCAGTGCCCTTCTAACATTTCTGAATCCCTCTTAACACATTAATCTTGTGTCATCACTTGTAGATACAAAGTCAGCTGTGCTCCTGTCACACCACAGCAAGCCATACCTCAAATCCAGCTCCCCAAATAGCAATCAAATGGATTTGTTGCTTGGTTTGGAGTGGAAGAACAGATGGAGAAACATCAGTACTAATTCAATAAACCTTACAGCCTCTGATTCTCTTAGCCAGAAATAAAATGTATGTATATCATGTGACCAATTTTGAGATCATGCTTAAAAACTCTGCTGAACATAAACTGGGTATTTTTGAAATGAAGCATTTGCTTAAAGGGCCTGCTAAATTAGGGTGCAAAAAAAAAGAAAAAAGAAAAAAAGAAAAAAAAAGGGCATACAAGGCAAATCCTCTTGCAGCTCTGGCTCAGAAAAGCAGAAAAGTGTATTTAGCTATAAAAGTAAAGTCACTGAAAAAGCGTCCTTATTTGAGAGGCACCACAGAGATTACAGCCCAGACTTCACCAATTACTTATGTAAAATCAGAACAATAGCAAGTGATAATCATGGATTGAAAAACATTCACAAAACCCTTCTGCTACCAGTGAGTTATTCCTTATGTGTGTTAATTAAGTAATTTTAAATTTGGAAATACAGATTTGTACTGATTTACAGTTTCACAGACTGAGCCTCCTGATTGTTACCAGGAAATCTGAAGGGAAGAGCAATCCCAGATGTGCAGAAACACTTCAGAGCAAAAAGCAGAGAAACCAGCAAAAGTAAAGAAAGTTTACAGTAAAAGACTCAGAGACTGTTGCAACTCTTTGCAGGGATTAGAAAAATGCAATTTTAATTTTTTTTGAAATGGGCTTTATTTTTCTCTTGCTTCCCTTTTTCAGAGGACATAAGTCACTCTCAGCTGTGAAGGAACAACAAGTGTTTGGCTTTGCTGGGGAAAGAAATGTTACTAAACAGAAATAAAATCAGCAACCAGATCAGTGTTTGTACGTTTTACAAAGCAGCACTTCCAACCTCTCTGCAATCCCGCACGCTCCCGGTGTCTTGAAGCCATTTTCCCCACTGCAGCAAGAGCCCTGCAGAACATGGAGCTGGCAGGGGATTGTGTTACTGCCCTGAGTGCACTGGGAAACAGCAGCTCCTGCACTCTGCAGCTGTCCAGCTCCTCCCAGAGCTCCAGCAGCCTGTTCAACAACTGTGCTGCCCCTCCAGAGCCAGCATCCTGCAGTCAGCATCACCCCGCTCCAACAGTGGGGAGAAACAGGCTCCAACCACAGACCCTTTACTCTGGAAATAGCTGAAACTCAAAGAGGGCTTTGCAAACTGCACCATTTCCAAAGTTATCTTTACCTAAAAAAATGTATATATTTTTTTCCTCTATAAAACTACTGCCTTTCTGCACTATCGTATTCCATCTGCCCTGCAGGACACTCTTCACTGCACAGTTTTCATCCTGGAAATAAAACAAGTCCCCTCAGGAATGATACACAACTGATGAATGTTTATTGATAATGAATATTTATTTGCTTATATGAATATTTATTAATGTATGCTGCTGTTGACTCTCAATCCCATGTGCACGGGCTCTGTGACAGCTCCTTGTTCAGGTCTCAGAAGAACCAGCCCATGCACCTTTCTTGTTTGAGGATGAAAAGCCAGTGCACACCCAAGAACAGAATACTTCCAGGGATGGAAAACTTACATAGGAAGCATCTTTTATTTTTTCTACATGAAGTACTGCAAAAGCTGAGAAGGGAAAGTTCATCAGATAAACAGAAATTCAAAATGTCACCAGTGAAATTAGTTTTTGAGAAAAATATTTACACTGCAGTTGAATCAAGCTACTTTGCAGACAAACCAAGGCAAAACTACAACAATGGAGAAGGTTTTATGTCTGCTCTTTAATAATTGTATCCTAATTATGGCAAAATTTCACCCCTTCCCAATGCTGGCTGGGAGAATCATTGTAAAATGCATGGTCCTGCAAATTAGCAAGCAAGAGAACAATAAATTCCCCCCAAGGATAATGCATCACAAAACACACTGCATTCATTTATTTGGCATAGTGCAGTTTAATTACTTGTAAAAATAATGACTCCTTTGTAGGGGCCCTCACTAACATGCGTTGCTGCTCTGTGTTTTGCTGAGTGGGACGAGCTGTGTGCCAAATTTGTGTGCATGGATTATACAGCATGAGCATAGCAGAGTGCAGAAAGGAGGTTGTACAGTGTCCTTTGCGTTTTGACATAAATGACACTCGCTCTCTTCACAAAATTTTCTGTGTTTTGAAGCTCAGTATTTCTCCTCCCAACAGGGATTTTCAAGTCTCAATCCCATCTTATTGCAGAAAATGCTCAGCACAATAAAAAAAAAATCACTGCTGGGGAATCAGGATGTGCCCATTTTGTCACCATCACCCTCCTGTGGGGAAGGGCTGTGGCCATCCCCATGTCACTGCTCCAGTCAATCCCAATGCTCCACCACCATTCCACCCACTGAGAAAGGGAACCAGGATTTCCAGCATCCATGGATTTCTGTTTGTAGGGCTTCACAGGAAGAGAAGAGTTTTCAGAGTCATGTGGCATGGCTGTCAGATGTTTATACATTTTATTTCTACCCAGCAGTCCAAGAGGAAAACAAATCACAACCAACAGTTTAAGGATATACCGAGAAGAACAGGAATTGGGACCTTGATGGTAACATTTCTGCAACTGCTTGTCTTATTTTCAAAGACAAACTGCAAAGGTCATCAGAGAAATTGCCATGGATTGGGCCAGCAGCATTCCTTAAAGCCAATGGCACAGGAATCCCAATTCCTCTTTTCATTCCACTAAGTGAGAACTGCCATTCCAAAACTGGAGCCAATTGTGAAATATTTCACCAAATACATTAATAGCTGTTGTAATAGTTTTGTTTACTTCCCATTTTTATTTAAATTACCAGCTCTACTTGCATTTGGGTTGCTGTATTTGCTGTGAGCTCTGTAATCAAGTTTTGGCCCACTTAAGCTTCCTGACAGTATGTAAAGCCTGTTAATGTGGTTAGTCTCACCTTGGAGAACCTTGCTGCAGTTACAGGATGAATTTGCACATCCCATTTTTACAATATAGCCTGTGAGATAGTTGTGTTTTCACTGTTGACCTTGATGGAGAAAAATATAACACTGTTATCCTCTCTTAATGCAAGGGTGGAGGAGAATAGGTCCCGTCCCACCCTGTACCTTCTCCTTCACTCTATTTCCATGTAGCTGCCTGAATTTAAGGATAAAACTTAAATGCAATCACTCCAGCAATACAGATCATATTTTTTGCCCCTCAACACTGCATCCAACAACTACAGAAAGCAGAATAATTTACAGCTCATAACAGGGAATGTTGCATGATAACATGGACAACACAGCAGACTCCTAAACACGACATTGGGTCACTAAGCATAAACCCCAAGTATACGAGAAGATATTCAGAAACACAATTCAGAAACACAAAGTTTATAACAAAGCTTAAGAGAAGCAGGCATCAGAAAAACACACATGGAGACTAAATCTTTTCTCCTATACAAACAGTCCTCTCAAGATTATTTTAAGTTCTTTGTCTTTATTAACCTCAGCTATTAAAGCTGGATCTCCAAACATTTGATGTTAAAAACCAACTTGCCATCTTCCAAAGAATTCCTTGTAAAGCAGTGCAATAAATGCTCATGCCACTAGTTACTTGCTATGTGTTGTAAGACCTGGCTGTTTCTCAAGACCATTTACAAGAGACCTGTTTCTGTTATATATTGTTCTCCTTTAAATATTTGAATTAATTCTTACCTTATTTTTTTTAACCTACTCTTTACAAGATGCTGCCTTATTTCAGTATAATGATCACTATTTCATTTAACTAAAAAACTCCCTCTAAAAAGTAAGAACACAACAGTGCACCACCACCACAATGCCTGTTAGCTCCCCTCTTTTGGGCAGTTGTGCTTGCTTGAAGAAAAGCTTTTTCATTTGTGTTTGCATAAGATTTGTCTTAATTAGTCAATATTACACTTTGGACTTCACAAGACAACTGGAAGCAGAATACTGAGCAACAAGAAAACCCCCCCAAAAATATTACTGCATTTCTCCATAACCCTTAGGACTGCCCCCATTGCCACTAGCAAGAATAGTAAAAGCAAAATTATACCAAAATTGCCTTTAAGGATGGAGTATAGCACTCAGACACCATTGAGTGATAATGTACAGCAAATCCAAGCATGGGAGAGAATGGAAAACCAGCAGAGGAACCACCAAATCATCCTTACTCTGTCAGAAGTTGGTGCAGCTTCTGGTAGCCCCTCTCCAAGGCCAAGCTCACAGGCGTTGCCCCTTCGTTGTTGTGGATGCTGAGAGCTCCTCTTCCCCCCGGCTGCTGGAGCAGAAACCACGTCAGCCGCAGCAGACCCAGCCTCACCGCAAAATGCATCAGAGTCTCCCGAGGGATGTTCTCTGGGAAGGGAGAAAAACAAAGAAATGGGAATCTGTAGGCTTGTGGGTTAGGGGAATGTTATACCCCACATCCCCACCACACAGCGGCTGGCAGGGAGCTGACAGCCCAAAGGAACCTGCAGCACCTGCAAAAACAGCCTGGTTGCCAATATCCAGGAGACACCAGTCTGAAAGTGAGGGACGTGCTTCGGTGGGACTGGAAGTGCTCAGGACCTCTCATGCTGAGATTGACCACAGCAGTCAATGTGAAAACCCCACCATTTCCTGAACAGCCACAGCCACCAGCAAGCCACAGCACACCCAAACAGAAGTGTGGTCAGGTGGGTTTTCCTGGATGTCCAAACCTCCTCCTTACAAAACCAGGACCAGGTTTTAGGGAGAGACAAATTTTATCTAACGGGATGCTGATTTACCCCAAGGCATGAAGAAGAAAAAAAAATAAAAATACATTTGATGCACATATCCAAAGCAGTTATAAAAGAGAACTGGTTAAGAACTCATACAGAAAAAACAAACAAACAAACAAACAAAAACCAAACAAAAAAACAAAACCCCAAAGGTTTTCTTTCCTGGTTTGATTATGCCTCAAGACCAGCTTTTCTCAGCTTAATACAGTAGCTCTGTCATTCTGAGAAGCAGCATTTATAAGCCACCAATCTCCATTGCTGCTTTTTGTATTTAATAACCGTGACCTTCTAATTTGGTAAAAGTCACTCCTGAGCCTGAGCTTTCATCTCAGAAAAATATCCCCCTACTCCAAAAGCTGCAGCCCTAGAATGATGCTCTGAAAAGCTTTAACCAGAAATGAGCTCCAGATGCACTGCTGAAATCCAGCATTTGCAGATCAAAGCTTGTTATTTCTGTATGAAAGGCAAAAGTATTTGGGTTAAAAAAACTGCAAGAAATAAAAATTTGTTCTTTTAATTAACAAAGGATTTCAGTATTGACTGACAGCAACAACAAAAACGCACCAACTGGGTCTCAGAAAGCCCTGCCAGTGAGCACACTTGGTACAAACCCTTTAGTATCACAGAAATGATTTATTGGGTTATTAATTTGGGTGGCAGCCAAACCTATACAACAGGTTTTAAAATGCATGCACATAATGGCTTTAGGATTTAATTTTTTTCTTTAAGAAATATGCCCCAAGAGAAATCACTTCTTCAAAGTGCTGCTGTTTTTCTTGCTTATTTACTTACTTTTGGGACATCATTAAGACCTTCGGTGAAAAACAAAACAAAGCAAATCCAGGCAGCTCTCCCCTGCCTCACACACAGTTTTTCACAACTTTTTGGATCAAATTCTGAAGAACTAATCTGTATGCAAGAACCAAAGGCTTTCTGGCACCATTTCTCTTCTGAATGACTCCAAATTAGGTCTCTGGGCTACAAACCAAGTCTTCCCCCAATCTCCTCTTGATTACCATAAAGCAAAACCAAGCTGCCCTGAATACATGAGAGTGTCTGAATGGAGGTTCCAGCTGATCAGAGAAAAGGGAATGGATGAGCTCTCCCAGAGACAAATTCTCAGCCTTTGGTTAAGTAATGAGAAGGATTTGGATATTAAATGTTATAGAGCATAATGATTTAGAAATAGCACAACATGGAGGTTAATCAATGGCTGCAGCCCCGGATTTAAAGAAAAAAGAAACATAACACAGCATATAGACAGACACAACTGATGAGGCTGCAAAATGTGGATACAGGTAGGACTTTTCCAGAGTAAAAGCAAATGCCCAATGTTTTACTCAATATCTTACTCAAAGAACTCACATATGCACAAAACTCCCACACTATCTGTACACTGACTGGCAGAGCCAAAATAATGAATGTGGTTTAATTCTTCCTACAGAGATGCAGGAAGCACAAAAGCACTTCTGTTAAACAACTGCCATCTAAATAAAGAATGTGTTCCAGTGGTCTGGCCACATTCTGTTCTTGCATGGGATCTCCTGTTATGGCTGCTTTGCTGAAAGGGAAAATCATCTTCCTAACTAGAATGGACAGTCTTGCCCCAGAGCTGAGCAGTGTAGACCTGCAAAGCATAAGCACAGATCCCTGGACCAAAATGCTTCCTCCTCCTGCAGCTGAGAGCATTACCCATAGGGAGAGGCATCTTCTGCTCACCAGCTCATGGTTCACCACTAAACACACACTACCAAGTGCAAGTTCAGCAAGATGCAGGCAGATATTCCTCTTGTCCCTGAGCCAAATGGGTGCTTCTCTCTGTCTCGTATGTCCAAAGATGAAATGGCCCCTCCCAGTTGTCACAATGCCTCCCCAGTTGTCCCAATCTGGTGATATGACTGCACCTTCCTTCTGAGAACATCCTTCCTGTTCTATTGAAACAATCTTCTTTATCATGGAATCAGTGGACAGGGTAGCTCCAGAGTTTGGATGGAGATGTCTGCAAATGCAACTGAAGTGAATGTGGCCTGCCCTGATGCCTTTGGGCAGTGACAGTGTGCACACAGGATCTGTACAAGAGGAGGTGGTGTGCTGCCACAGAGCATATTAAACACACAGGCTCACCATCCACTTTTGGAAGGCTCTGCCTGACACAGAACCTGGCATGAGGCCACCCTAACAGATGGGCACAGATGATGGCAGCAAAGAGACAAAGTACTGTACATCCAACAACTGCAGGGGCCGCAGGCAATGGCTTTGGAAGGTTCTGGAGTGTGCAAAACTTGCATGGTGACAGTTACAGAGGCATGTGCCATCTGTGGGCTGGATTAACTACTAATACATAATGAAAACACATCTGTTGGTGTGTGGTGGTGCTCAAAACTAGACAAGAGCTGGTGTGCATCACGTAGGGACGTTTTTCTGGATGGAGAGGGGAGGAAGACAGACAGATCAATTCAGACTTCCTACCTTTGAAGGGACGAAGCTTGTCATACAAAATGTTGGAAATCCAGTCAATGATTTTATGATCTTGTCATGCTGCAAAATGTCCCACACATGGAAGAATATCAAAAGCTTTAATATGCAAAAGCCAGAGCTCCTTCTCCTACCACATACCAAGCAAGAGCTTGTCTTAAAATGGCTGACATCTGAATGTCAACAAGAAGCTTCTGGTAACTAGGAAATTGTGGAAATACAAGACACACAATACTGAAAAGGCCAAGATTGTTTTGTTTCTTCCTCGTTTCCTAGTAATAGGCAAGAGTAGAAACACATGATTATTGCCCCATAATGGCAGGGTACTCTAGTCCAGCTGGCAAAACACAAGACTTTGGATATATTATTTTTCTGTAATTTTTTTCTGCTGTGATACACGAACAGACAGTTTATCTGCGCAACTGAGGAACAAATTTCCATAGAAGACTGCCATATGTAGTTTGCTAATAGTAAAGGATTAAGCTTTAAGGTGCTATTAGCACAAAACAAGTAAGCACTGAAGGAAAAAAACCCCAAACTTTGGGTATGACACGCCCAAGAACTAAATGAAAACTTTTATTTTAAACCTGACTAAATAACAAAGAAAGAAAAAAAACACACTACTGATCCTTTTTTAAAATAACTTTCCAGATAGAGCAACCTATACCTAATGCTCAGTTTATCCTCCATGCCCTGAGACATCTCATGAGCCAACCATGGAATGGGGTAGCATTCCTTCGTCTTCCTGTGCTCATGGACCTTTACTTGGTTCTCACCCAAACTCATGTACACCCAGCAATTTGGAAATCTACCATCACATCTGGTCTCAAAATCTTGCTTTCTGCTGGAAATGCTCTCACTGCTCATATCAATCCTCGAGAAACAAGGGTAAAAAAACCCAGAACCAAGCTGCCACCTCACACTGAGGTCCTGAGGAAGGTTCCAGCAGACAACTGCACTGCAGAAAGGTCAAGGCAAAGTTGTTGTGTTTGGAGTTATGAGCTCAGTTAATAAAAAGATGTGTGGATAATTCCTTTCTTAATCTGATAAACAAGAAATTTTTCAAAGCACACCAAAAGATCTCCATGTCCCCATTCCCACTAATATCAAAGGGAAAAGGAGCACTCTCATGCCAACAATTTCTCGGCCACAGACTAAACGGTACATCTCAGTCTAGAGCAGCCCATTTCTGATGCTGTCTGAACAAGAACTGCTTTCTGCTTCCCATTTTCCACTGCAGAGGGCACTAAATATAGGTATGGAAAAGACTTTTTACATCTTATCAAGGACTGCTGCTGAACAGAGCACTTTGTGCTGTTGGCACTGAACACATCATGGTGATTTATGCCATACCATCCTTTATCAGAGAGCACAGAAGCTGAGCAGCAGACTGGAAAGGATATGAAACCCAACCAAAAGAACACCTGTAACTATTACATTGAAAGGGTTCCAAGAGAAACCATAACAAGAGTGTAGCAGATGAACAGATTAAAGCTCCCTGTCTGAAATACATCATCGGTACCATAACTTTAGCATCCTCCCATGGGAAAAAAGACTAGGTACTAATAACCAAATTCTGAAAGTTTTTTAAAGTTTTTTTTAGGATTTTTTGCTTAAAATAAGGTGCTTTTTTGGTGAGTTTCTCTCCAGACATTCTCCCTTCGTGCAAAAAAAAAAAAACCCAATTCATGATCTCTATTCCCAGTGATATTCATGTTGTTCTCTACATTGAAATCCTACTGGTTTTGTACATGAAACTATTAAACCCATAATCCTAATACATTCAGACTATTTCAAACCAGGGCAGAGTGTTTCCCTCTATACCCACCCCCCTACCCTGGAGAGGTCATGGAGTTCAATTTCCCAAACAGTACTTATCGAAGGATGTTTATCCCAGAGCATTTCTGGGAAGCTGTACATACTCAACACATCAGCAACAGCAATCAGTTAAGTGCTCCATCTAATCTGATGGTCTCCTGGTTATCTGCTTGAAAACCTGGCTCACTATCTCACAGAAGCCCTTACACTCCCCAGGGAATTGCTCCGTATCATGGTAATCACAGCAACCCTCTGCCAACATTAACCAGCTCCTGAAGCACCAACTCACAAAGCTCACACAACCAAAAATCAACCATAGCTCTGGGTTTCACCACTCACTTTTAAATAAGCAAAATGGAAAGACTGTTTCCTCAAAGGTTTCATCGGAATATTACTTCCAAGTTATTTTGAAATCCATCTGTTTACTAGTGATACAATTAAGCTCTCTAAACTTTTCATACCTGAACTTCAGATCCACCCTAATTTTTTTCACCCCACTGCAACATAAACAAGCCATAATCATTACTCATGCCTCAAAATATTCAGTTATGGTTTTCTAGTTAGCTTATTTTCTCTTCAGTAATTTAAAATAGAACATCATAGTCCTGTATTTACATTGCATACATCCTCAGGACACATATTAAAATTTGTTTTCTAGACATAAAGTGTAACAATCTGTTCCATTTAGATAGCTGCCTTTAAATGCCACTGAGAACAGTAAATAGCCCCACTTTTGACAGCAGTAACAACTACGTTCTTTAGAAAGTTACAGTGCAGTTGTAATTATTAAGACAGACATGATTATATGGCACCTGAAAGAAATGCTGTGTTTGGAATACCACAGTAACAAGACTAATCCTTAATTATGGATATTCTGAAACTGTGGATTCCACTGGAGTTCATACAGATAGACAGATAACTAAGAGCATGGCCCAGGAACTGCTTGCTGAGGAGGGACAGCGTATGCCTGGTGAAGAGCACAGCTGTGTCTCAGGGACCGTGCTCTTCCCCAGCCACACACTGTCCCGAGCTCTCTTCTGCCTCCCAGTTCATGCCTAGCTTGAGTATGGTTGAGTACTCAAATGGTTGAGTACCCTCTGCCTGTCCCAGCAAGAGAAGGGAGCCCGAGGATCTCTGATGTCAGGCGTTCCCATGGCCAGTTCTGCGGCTGTGTCTGTTTAGTGACACAGAACATGAGTTCAACAGCCTCAGGAGACTCAGGTGGGTGAAGCTTTCAGCAGCTCCTCTGCCCTGCGGGGTGACAGCAAGTGAACTCCCTGCCCCCTGCTCGAAGCCAGGGCTGGGTGCAGGCAAAAGCAAGGAGAACCCTCCACACAAAACCACCCCCTCCTCAAAATTCAGCCTGGACCTGTGCACAGTGGTAGATCTTGTACCCAGCTTCTGTCAGCAGAAAGCCATCACTTCCTAACTTTTGCAAAAGTTGGACTCCTACTTCAGACTTTTGAAAAATTGACCTTTAAACGTGTTTGACAACAGCATTCTCCTCTGAGCACCAGTTCCCCATCAGGCTGTGGCATTCCAGGAGCTGGCGGAGGCTCCCGGCTCGCTCCTGCCTTCAGAGGTTTTGCTGAACAGCAGCGTTTTGTTTCCAGCCCACAAGAGCCCATAGAGACGTGCCAGCTCAGAGGCAACGCTAAACATCTTTCAAGAAGGGATCTGACATTTTCTTTTGTTCTCATTTCTATAGTATTTTCTCCCTCGAGAAGGTTATTTGAAGTTATCTGGTGCTGACATTTAGGGAAATGTGAAGCATGAATTGCAATAGCTGTTCTTAGGTAGTGAAGCAGTGCAGGACAGGGTGTCCCACTGCAGGCACTGGCCAGCATGTGCCTAATTGTTCAAACATTCCTACAGTGCAATCCCTGCAGTGCTTTTCTCTCTCCCACACACAAATTAACACACAAGTACCAGTATAAGGGTGCTATATGTTAGTACAGAGATTTTTCTAATCTAGCACTCCATCATAAACCAGGGACATCTCTTCCATCCCACTCTAGCAAAACAGAGTTTTGTGACCAAAAGGATGCTTCTGCATGCAAATCCTTCCTGCCACAAACACAAAAATTCCCCCAAATTCCCTATGTGTAAATATCTCACTGCAAAAAAACTGGAACATATTTTATATCACTAATATTGTTCAATTAAATTTGCATTTAGTGACATTATAGTTATTCACTTCTATCTACACACACTTCACCACAAGATGCCAAAACACTCAAGAGTTACAGAATTTGACACTACAGAGCTTTCTCTTCTCACTGTGGATGCAAGTCCATTAACATACAGAGCCCTGCATAACCACAACTTCCTGGCACACAAGCACACGCTGAGGAAACCAACGTAAATCTTATGGCCTGATTTCCCTAAGTGCTGATTTTCCAAAGAATAATCAAAGTCAAAAAGAGAAACCAGATCTCAGACTTCCTGCAATATCAGCAACAATTCAGAGTTTCAAAGACTTTGTTAAGATCACTGTGATCATATTTGTATCACTTAAACCAGAAATGTCTGCATTATCACAACACTTTTCAAATGCAGAAAGAAACATCAGTGACTTCCACACAGAGGAAAAGAATACCAAGTGTTATACTCTAGTGTTTATCTCCTTGTAAACATATGACAGCTGCTGAATTCCTATCAAGGAGCCATTAAATATGATCAAATATTTTAATGTCTGCTAACATGGGAATTGTCTCCTTGTATTGAGCATTACAAAAGCAGACAGCAAGCTGGATAAAAATAAAGCAGGAAAATCTCCTGTGGAAAACCCTACTGCAGTGACCAGAACTGAACCTGCTGCACCCAGCCCTATTCACGTGTTTGTGCCATTGCATCTTATAGAAGATAACAGATGCCTCACGGTCACATTCTTGAAGTGAAACTGCTGAAATGCCCTGAAAATTTACAGCAAGGATTGGAACATACTGGAATTAGTCTCCTGGTCCCACCTGTCTTTCCTTTTACCTCCTTGTGACAAAAGAAGCAGAACTCCAAGGATACAGACACACCACAGCACCCTGAACATCTCAGCACTTCTGCTTCAGCAGCCACAAGAGACTTAGGGCCAGCCTTGGGGTTTATTCATAAGCTTTCAGTAGCCCTCACTGCTGTGGTTAAGGGTTAAGTTTTCCCATCCTTCCCTTCTTTTATTTGCAAAATTGTCCAGGCTTATTTTGGGAAACTGCAGTGTTAACCCATGCTGTGTGCAACCAGGGATGTGATATAAACCCTCAGGGCCAGATCCCTGAGTTCTCCAAGAACAATCACATGTATTTTTCATGTTACAGTCATTTTGCACCTGTGCTACAAAACCAGTATTTACTACAAGTGCCAAATTTCTGGCACAAGGATATTTCCAGGAGCATCAGATATTCTACACAGAGGCTTCTTTCAGAACAGAGCACTATACTGGTACACATGCCATTGTTACACACACAAAAAAACCCTGTCAGGCTATATGTGAAAACACTTACTGTCAGCTCGTGCTGTTTCATATGAGAAAACACAGAGAAATCATGACTTATGATTATATATTTTATACCTTATATATTTTAAGGAGGCTGAAGGGCAAGATACGGGGTGTGGATGGACATCACATCCCATCTCTGAGCACAGAGGCCACCACACCCTTTGGAAGGTACATGGCAGGTTCCCAAGGCAGGGAACCCTTTCTCCCAGGCTTTTTAGCTCTCCCCCAACCCTCAAATCTCACTGTGCCCCAGAAGTCCTCACCGGTCAGGGACTGGTCCGCTCCCAGCACGTTCCATTCTGCCGGCAGCTTCAGGTGTCGAAATGCCAAGGCCACCTTCTCATCCAAGAAGTCCACGTCTGCAGCAGGTGGCCGTGACCGGTCCAAGAAGCGTGTGAAATTCAGCGCCTGCTGGTTGCCAGCACAGGTGGCCAGAAACTGGGCGGCATCGTAGGCTTCGTCCTGGACAAACTGGAAACTCTCTTCTGCCACAACCAGAACGGGGTGACCTTCTCTAGAGGCACAAAGTGCCACCTTCACTGTCTCACAGCAGTCATGGCCTGCAAAACAAAATTCAGACAAATGGTAAGAAAAAAAAAAAAGAAAAATTGCATGGGCTGAGGAAACACAACTGAGCAATTCCTTTGACATACACACACACACACTCTTTGCATTAAATCAAATAAGACCAAGTTATTGAGGGTCACAACTCTAAAATAATGCTGTCTTTGGAATTTATATGTATCATAAGAGATAAGTATTTGTTATAGATTTTAAAAGGAAAATATGTATCACTCTTCTCTGTCCCAGTATAAACCAAGAACTATAAGCCACGCAGGAAATTTATATTCAGCAACAAGCACTCTCTAGAGTTTTAAGTAATTTAAGTAAAAGATTTTGTTAACGTACCAAAAGCCAGGTTCTACGGACAAACTTTTCTTTTGCAGCTCTGCAGGACTCCAGTAACTCATCAGAAACTGGAATCTGAGTGTTGCAAAGCTACATACTCCAAATGCTGTCACAACACTTGGCTTGCACTGAAAACATTGAAATTCCACCTAAAACAAAGATCTAATGGCTACGAGAGCACGACCTGCCTGGGCATGCCCTGTGTGTGCTCACTGCTGCACCTGCCCCTTGCATTTGGGTTCACATGACAAAACTAAAAACTAAGCTGCTTCTGCTAAATAAAAACATGGAAATGGCCACTTTCCATATTTACAAAACAGAAGGGTTGGAAGTTTGGTAATTTCATTATTTATTTAGGGGAGGGGAAACAGGACAAAGGAGGCCCTGGCATGGCAGCAATTTCATTGACTCAGAAACTTGAGGGGGAAAAAAAAAAGCGAACACCAAACCAAACCAAACAGCTTTTTGGAATTTTAAAAGGAAAAATATACTATGTGTCCAACACAACCAGAACTTGTAGTTGTCAGACATGCCCCTTCAATAATAAGGTTTGTGGTTCAAGTTCACTGTGTAGCACAGTTTCTTGTTCCAGCCTCAGACTGACGTCATGGCTGTTTTTGCCAGAACAGCGTGGACCCTGCACTAATTACTGGAAAAGCTTCTTTTTTGCCCATGACTTCAGCATACTACCACATTCGTGAAACCCTGCTTAATTAAATACAAAATGACGATTTATTTTTAAAGGCTTGAAAATTCAATTTAAGCTCCCATTTGCGGTCAGTGGGAAAGTTTCCTTCTTCTGTTGGGGCCTTTTGCTGTTGATTTGCCTGACAAAAGGGAAAATATGTCCCTAATCTTCATGGTCTTTCAGCCAACCTCACAAATCTGTTCTGAGGCTTTTGGCATCTGTACAGATTTTGTCTGCTGAAAGAGGCAATCCCGAAGTTAATTGAAAGGTCAAAACTGCTATTAGGACACTGTGGGTAACACCAAAATTGTCAGAGATGAGGCTGTGGCTTCCTAAGGAGAGCAAATGCAGCTGGAAAGGTATCAAAGGCAAGTGGAGGTGGGGAGGAAAACACACATGGATGTTGCTGCAACTGCTCGATACAACCAGGATGTTCTGGAGCTAAAAGGTGAGAAAACTTCTTTCCTTCCAGCACCAGATGGCAATTAGCAAGAGGATGATGTGAAAGCTGAAGGAATAGATTTAACTAATTTTGTTGTTTTGAACAGAGGTAGGAACAACTTCTTCTGCTGCTCTTGAAAATACTGAATGAAAATGTGCATTCTAATAATTACTGTATTAGTACTCAGCTGCTCAGATGAAATTCAGATTCCACACATCCTGACAGCAAAAGCCCCCAATGTTCAAGGGAGAAGTGGGGGGGGATTATACAACTTTGGAGGGATTTGCCTTTAAGGCCATTTAGAACTGTGCATGCCTCCCCCTGCACCTTCTTGCTTTGCTGATCTTCCTAAGGACATCAAATACAGAGCAGGGAAGACAGACATAATTTTGTTTCCAGTCTCCATGAAAGCAGTGATCTCTGTGCCACTGTAAGAGGGCTGTGCCAGCCTACAGGAGCCGACTCAAATCCTGCGAGCTGGGCTCTCCCTAATGCAGAGCAGCGAAGGTTGCTAGAATGCAGAGTTTAAAAAAAACAAACACAATAAAAGCCTTCCCTTAATAGCATGAGGACAGCTAAACCTTTGATTCAATTTTTAAAAAATATTTTCTGCCTATTCCCATAAGAATCCCATCTGCAGAATAACCTAGAATACAACTACTCTGCCAGCAAACTTTCAGAATTGAAGCAGCAGGCAAAAATGGCCCATGAGCAGCTACAGAGAAACTATTTGGGATAGTCACTTCCTCGTCACGATGCCAAACAACTCTGCTGTGGGACAGCAAAGGCTCCTCCATTGAGACAACAACTGCAGAAACCTCTGTCAAGATGTGTGGTCTCCTTAAAGCAGCACATCATGGATGAACACAAAGTTCCCTTGGATGGAGCGTGTGTTAACACCAGCTGCAAAATGCAACACAAGGGAAGGTGATAAAAAGACCATGTCCTGACCTGTGGCCAACAAGGATTCTACTGAAACTTCCCCAAATATTGAATGCAGCCTAGAAGAGAAAGTGACAGACCTGGCAACCCATTTTTATCTAACAGGGTCAAACAAGCATCAAGCATCATGCTAAATCCTAGCGAATGTTCTTCAGAAGGGCAACTGCTTTCAGTGCTTTGATGTTCTACTTATTCACATTTGAGAAGATGTCAGACATGGGGCTAAGAACATGGGACAGGTTCTGACTTCTGGCAAGCAGTTCAAATGAAAGGGGAGGCAGTATGTAACAAGAGCAGACAATACTAGAAAGATTGCTCAAGAGGTCTCTGCCCCCCTGCTTTGAAATGGCTACAGGAACAATGTGAGCAAACATGTCCCCAATACAGGAACCTTCTGAAGGAACCATCAGTGGGAGCAACACTTCTCACCACATCAAAGATCCAATGGCCTGGACTAATATTTATATTTACAGCCCTTGTCCCAGAGCATTACCAGAAGGGAGCTGAGCTCTCTGGCACTCTCAGGAGGTGTTATCACTGCCAAACCAAATCTGTTTTCACAAGGTTAAGTAACTCATCCACAATCACAGAGCTCCAGGCAGTGCCAGAACAGCCAGTATTGCTCCTGTGCCTCACCTTTCTGCTCTCTCTGGCAGACAGCAGGGCTTTCTTTTAACATGGGTTAAGCACCAAGTTATGCACCTATCAAGCATCAGGGTGGTTCCATCACCTGTGTTCATCCACTATGGACTGCTGTAATCCCCTCATACACCTGCCTAGATGTGGAACAGAAAAATGTCTGACACCGAAAAGGGAGAAAGGAAAAACTCTGGGTGTGTCAGTGGGTTGGTTTTGATGTTCTGGTGGAACAGAGTTAATTTTCTTTGCAGTAGCTAGTGTGGGGCTGCTTTGGATTTGTGCTGGAAACAGTTTTGACAATCCAGGCATATTTTCCTTCTTGCTGAGCATTGCTTATGCAGACCCAAGGCCTCTTCTTTTTCTCACCCACCCCACCAGTGATCAGGACCAGGGCACATGGAGTTAGGAGGGACACAATAAGGACAGCTGACCCCAAGTGACCTGATGGATATCCCAGACCATTTGGAGTCATGGTCAGTGTATAGAGCTGAGGAAAGGAGGAGGAAATCTCCATTATATGTGATGAAGCCCCAAGGATGGCTGAACACCTGCATGCCCATGGAAAGTAGTGATCTAATCTCTTGTTTTGCTTTGTTTGCATGTGGCTTTTGCTTTATCTATTAACCTGGCTTTATCTCAACTCACATTTTCTCACTTTTGCTCTTCCAATTCTCTTCCCCATGGCACAAGAGGCAGCTGTCTGGGACTTAGTTGCTGACTGGGGTTAAAACACAAAAGTCAGGAAGAGGAATGAGCCTATTTGCAAAGGTTTGCATTTCCATAGGCTGAAAACACAGGTAACTGAATAAATCACACAGATGAGAGCACCTCAGAGAAGGGATGAGAAATCTCCATGCTTTACAACATCATCTCAGACTGCATGACTACACTTCCCTTCTTCATCCATTTTTTTTTGCCACAGATATCAAATGTGGTCATTTGTGTGCTGCCTTGACTATGATAAAAATCAAACAATACATCCCTTAATTCCAGCAACATTGCATTTTATCCCATTTCTCCATTTGCTCCCCAGTTACTTTAAATCTAGCTTGGAAACAACTCTTGACTTGGAGCTGTTTTGAGAAATACCAACAGATTGCAGGAAAATACAGAAATTGAAAAACTATTTCAGTCTATGCAGGGATGGGTACAGTGACTAATTCTGCTGCTATAAAGCAAATTCCTCATCTACACATCAAACCACGCTTTCAAAATTATTTTAAATGAGACAACAGCTCTTGAACTGAAGAATTCTTTACTGGGAATGAACGGGGACACTTAATGAAGCTTGTTCTGGGGAAAATACAAGAATGAAAAATGAAGACATGGTGCTCTGGTCTGTCTGTTCTTATCCCTGAAGAGATGAGATGTATCAGCATGATACCAGTGCTTCCTCTAAGTGGTACTGCTGCAGATCAGTGAGCATGAGAATGGGGAGATTTCTCAGCTGCCAGTCATTAGCAGGTAAGTTAATGTACAGCTTAGACCTGTCCATCAATTGCTACCTGTGCCTGTGACCTGGGGTGCAGTTAAAAGGGCATCAGCTGAACTCCTCAGACTTTTTCTTGTTTAACAAGGCCTACATGGAGACAAAACACCCCTAAATAGAGCTTTATAAAAGATGATTTCATTTCCTACTCCTCCAAAAGTGGAAATCCTGTCCAAACCTCCTATTTTCAGAATTCACATTGGAGCTATCAAACAATGGGCCCCCAGCCTGGGCAGCTATTTAAAGCCCTGCTGGAAGCACATGTTTGGGTTTGCTTGGTAGGTGATTAAAGACTAATTGCATCCTCCAAGTTACCATGGTGGAGCTGGGTTGAAAGAGGTCTCATAGAGAGATTTAAGGACAGGAAAACCAGACAACAAATGTTGTGAACCTCATGAAGGATCTCAGATTTGCATCCAAGAGATGTTGCGATCTGGTGGCTTGTGGAAAA